CCGGGCACGGCGGCACCGCCCGTCAAACTGGGGGGCATAAAGGAAGGGGGATGAGCACGAGCGCGCTCAAGGGGTAAGGAATAAGCCCTGTGCCGAATAGCTGCGTCTCCCAGCACCCTGTCCGTCCCGGTACCCCCAAAGGACGGCATCTCGACCACCATGGGTCACAGCCGGGCACCAGAAAACCAGCAAAAATGCGTAACAGCTGCATGAAAAGGGAAGTCGGAACACCGACGCGTGTCCTTGAGGGGGGAGGCAGGCCAGCTGCTCACGCTCAGCCACAGCTGCTGGCTTTCGTTACACCAGCCCTGCTCCCTTCTCCCGGCCCGCTGGCACAGGCCCCCGTGCTCCTTCTGCGCAGTTCTGAGCGCGTACAGGGACACCATACCCAAGAGGGACACTTCGCACCTGAACTGAAAGGACAAAGCTAACCACGTGGAAGCAAATAACCTACCCGGATCTCACGGAGTTCCCTCCCGTACTAACCAGCACAGATCTCATGTAGCCCTATGGCTACAACTGGAATCAGGCTCTTGTGTTTCATTACGGGGACAGGCCTTGGTTTCAAGCGACCCTGACCAGCAGTGGGATCCTCAGTGTACTATCTGAGGTACTGGAGACTGCCGCATCTTAGCATGCGCGCTCTGCAAATAAAAAACACTATTCACATTTGGGGTTAGGAATGACAACCATCACTAACTGGGGGGATAATGATGGTAAACTGAGTTAGAGAAGATAAATGACTTCTTGAAGATAAAACAAAAACATATACAAGCATCGAACCCTCACCTGCACTAGGCTGGAGACTGAGCTCTTACAAAACAAGCAGAACTAAGTCACCATTGCTTCATTCAGTGATAATGCCCCTCATAGCCTTAAAAAGTTCGCATTTCAGTAGGGCAAACAATGACATCAAGCAACTCGTCCTTACTACAACTTCTCATCCGGTCTCAGGCTAACAGAAAACTTTAATTCAGGAATAAAAAACTCCAACATTTTCACCATTTCATAAAGTGTTTATTGAGGATGGTAACACAGGATAAATCATGCAACAGCTCAGTAAAAAAAGGGAATCATTTAAAGGATAAAGAATGGTAACTGGTGCTGCTGATTTTGAAAAGTTTATAAAAAAAATATTAATTGTCCAAAAGTGACATCAAAAACCACTTGAAGCTGAACATGGAAGTTGCTTATAAAGCATTCATTAAAAAGAAAATGTAGATACTGTTTAAAATGATCACCTACAGAGTACTGGAATCAACAACTTACAAGTCTCCCATTTCTATAGCTGCAATGGTGTAGCAGGGCTGTACATCCAAGATATTTAACCTTCTTTTCCTGCACGAAGAATACCGTCACAAACATTTGCCACGAAGCAACACAACTGTATCTCTTACCCTTCACGACCTGCGCTGCCAAGCGCTTTCGTTATTGGGATTACCTTCCCAAACATCGTGGCAAAACAGGAAAGGGCCCATCCTTGTGGCCTCAAGAGATTTCCTTACTGTCCTCTTGCCGTCAGCCTGTTTCAGAAGGGGAACAACTACAAAACGTGACTGTTCCCCTTCTGGCACCAACATATGTTTTAAATAGGAACTCCATGTCAGCAGATGGCACAAAGACTGGGCACCAGCACATCACATCAAACATCGGTGGTTTCAGATTGAGAGTTGACATATATTCACCTTTTGGAAAAAAATAAATATAGTGGAATGAAAATTGAATCAAAGGGAAAAAACAGATGACTACCATCCATCAAGGATGCACATACCTGTGCACTAAAAAACAAAAAAGAAAAAAAATAATCAGTCATTTCAAAGAAATTCTTGAAAATTAAAAAAAAAAGTTTGCACTTGTTCCTGGTCATAAACAATCTCACAAAAATCTCACTTTTGGAACTATTCCAATTGAAACCATACACTGAATTTATTAATACAGTATAAGTTTCTTTATGTAAAAAATCTTTATACATAGTAATAAAAAAGATAAAGGCAAGATGCATCAAACAGAAATCTGCTGGTTGTTTTTCCTCCGTTCTTACAGAGCCGCTGATGACTACCTGCACTATAAAGAGCTGTGTTTCTGACTTTCTGTCTCAAGCATCTTCGCCTTTGCTTGTGATAAGGATTGTTCTGTCCAAGCATCCAGAAGGACAGATGCTGGTGATGGTTTTTTTTGGCACTTATGCTGGCAAACTGAGCTTCTTTCCCTTGAGTACTGTAAGGAAAAGTAGGAAAGAAAACAGTTAGCAAAACAAAGATGTGATCTAGGAGAAGCACACACTGTCAAACCTTCAAAGGGACCAAAACCTGTATCACATAGAGTCACTTTGTTACAAAATGGGTGCACTGCAGACAGTCCTCCCAAGCTTGCCTCTCTCTCTTCAATATATACTGGTAAAACTATGATGAATTAACAACTATTCCAATCCTGCCCTCTTGTGGCACCCTAGAATTCTCACCTTTCATCCTCGGGACATACTAGCCTATGACCGTGGTTTCTTAGGAGTTATGACTAAAATAACACAGCCCCATATAGCTTTGTAGTTCTATGACCGAAGCTGGAGTGTGAATAAGGGCAGAATTACTAATGCACCCAGCAGAAATGACTGCTCTTACACTTAGCATCAACAGAAACATCCAAAATCCTTTGGACTCTTAAGGTATTTAAAACACTGAGAAAGGTGCCTGTAAGCACGGAATCTGCACAAAACAGTGTATTTTGTCAGGAGAAGCATGAGGATCGTGCTTATCGATGGAAGACAACAGCAACATATATTTAGCCATACTCATTTTAAATTTGTCGATTTTAAGTTCATCAGACAATTTATACATTTATATTCTATCCATACTCAAAACAATCCTCAGAAATGCCCCATGCTAGCAGAAAGTGTACTTGATAAATCTATCAAGGAGACTTCAGCGATAATTTGCACACAGAATTAACAACCTAGTAATGTCGAAATAGCAGTTCCCTATGAACGTGTTAATTGCCACATTCCATAACCTGAAGCTGGAAGTTATTGCACTACTTACCTTTTGTAACATACAAATAGAAGAAGTCACAGTAAAGAACGGTCTGGACCACACCAGCAACAACAGCTATGAGGTCAAAAAATCCCTCAAAATAGTAGCGCCAAATCCAGTTGACTAAGTACAAGGCACGGTACAGACCCAAGAAGAAAAGATAGTGAGTAGTGATGGTCTCTGCTTCCCCAGTTTTGCTGATCATAAAAAGTTGAGGGAGAATAGCAACCGATTCAAGATAGATGGAGAAGGTCCACAGTATCTGAAAGGAAAAAAATCCACAGGTATATTCAATTGTCTTACTGATAACAGAAGCAAAGAAGATATTTGACTTGGCTTGGCTTTTCACTCTCTAACAATGTTATGAGTAGGTATGGTATATTGGCAAACTACCCTTGATCCAGGAAAAACTAAGTGAAAGCTTCATAATCAACCACGGGATGGCACGAGGGAACAACTCCCTTGGCAGACAGACTCTCCAAACCAGCTGTCTAGTGAGCTGGCAGGCATAGGTTTACTCATGAGGAAACTTATGTACATCCATCAAGTTCAGGATTCACAGTACCATGAAATACATCCTACAGAGCTGGTGCTGTGAAAAGCTGCAGGGAAGATTGAAGTCCTTTTTCCCCGTGTTCTTCCAACTTTTTTTATCTATTGGTTTAAAAAATGAGTTAATAGAGAACAAAATTTAAAATAATGTCTCAAAGTGTTGCAATTAAAATTCCTTTACGCTCTAATAAAATAATTTAACTCCAATAAATATAAAAATGCAGCTCAGTCCACTTAAAATAACAATCTAAAGGTATTCTCTATTTCGTGGGAAAAATTACCTGTTTGAACTCTCTATAATTACATTTTTAATAGAGTTTTTCTGAAAGGAAAACACATAGCTGCATTTTAAATACAATACAATTCTTTCTAACACTCTAGACCATTTGCAATTCTACAAAATTTAAGAAGTATTAGAATTCCTTTTGTTTTCACCAGGTGGTGAAAACAAACCTGGTGGTTTGTTTTTTTACTATTTACAAACTGCATTCTGGGGCATTTCTTTAACAAACATAACAAAAGGAAAGATACTTTTGAATTAATATAACCATCAGAGTATACTGGGAAAAAAGCTATCTCTTGCTTAATAAAATAATCAATGTTGATAACAATGCTAGTCTCCTGAAGTGCCTTAAATTTTCACAGAAATCTACACTGTAAATATGCATTAAGGAAACAGAATTAGCCTGAACTTACTAAACACAGGCTTCTTTCAAGCATTCCTTAATCAGCCTAAAAATGCTCATCTTCACGTTCGAAATATTTTAGAGAAAAAAACATAACCTCCTGCCCACAATCAACTCACCTCCAGAGGAGAGAAGTCATGATTGACAAGAAATGAGAGTCCACCAACAGGAACTATCAGAAACTCCACTCTGAATGTATCATGGTTTCCATCATAGGTGGCCTTAAATTTCATGTAGATCAGATACACAGTGGCATATGAGCAAGCAATGTAGATAAGCTGAAGAGCAAGGAAAGAAAAAACAAAAAACAAAACAACCCACAGAGGTTGCAGGATTAGATCAAACTCACTGAACAAAGATATTCCCAGGCACTAAGAGGAATAAGTGCTGTCTTTTTTGGTTGTTTGTATTGTTTGTTTACATGCCTTTGCAGTTCTGGGCTACGTGGTGGTATTTAACTTTTCTCAGCAGAGTAATAATTCAGAACCAATGACTCTGGGCTCTGCTGGCTTTGTTGCTTTAAAAGCATCACCTTGCCTCTGGTTGAAGTGACTGTCCAGAGTTTCTTTAAAGACCCTTTCCTGAGTAGACAGAACTAAGGAACTGACTGGAGAAGGAATACCCCTTCTGCTGCTGCAGGGGAAGCACTGGCCCAAAACATTTACGTTAAAAATGTGCACGTGCATACACATAATAATGGTGGAAGGGGTCCTTTTACATTCAAAAAGCCCAGGAGTGGTGTGGCTCATGTGGTAATTAAAAACCTATTCAATAAGCCCCATTCGGACTCAGCCATTTAACATATCACAAATTAGCTGATTTGATTTAGACCTTTAAACATCTCTAAAATCTGAAGAGTGGCAAGTGGCCAGTGTTCTCCACCAACCAACAGACCATAAAACCTGCAAAACTAACAGACTGCTAGAAGCACTGAACCAGAATTCAGTTTCAATTTCAGTTGATGTCTAACGTTACCATTTTTAATTGTTATGGTACAGTAGACTTCACAGTTATTCCCTGTGGAACAGGCAAATAGCCTTATTTTACAGAGGAGAAAACAGAATCAGAGACAATACATGACTTTCTAAAGGTCAATCTGCCATCATCAGGACAGAGCTCACATTGTCCTGGAGACAACATAGTACAGTAGACAGCCAAATAATTTAGCTTCTGCCTCAGTTTCATCACAAAGATTAAATACTCCAAACCATTTATCACATTAAATATAGGTTCTTTACAACTGAAAAGTAACAGTTTTAAAAACCCATTGTTTGCAGATGCTACTAATCGCTAAAAGCACTGCTCACAGATACAGAATGCTACAAATACTACATTAAGAAGCTCAGAATCCAAAGACTTTACTACACTAGCACCCCAGCTGACTGGAGATAAAGGACCACAGACAGGATATCAGATATAGGAATCCCTACTACAGGTGTAAACTAATTGTAATTGGTATGGTCATAGAAGACACTAAGAAAGTGTGAGTGAACCCCCAACTCCTTATTAAAGATTTCTACATGAGAATTATAGGGTGTTTTGGGACACTCAAAAAATTTCTTCATTTTTAAAGGTACCAAAATAAAATAAAAGAATGGTAGGAAAATGACGGCAGAGTGCACCAGCAGAAATGCATCCAATACTCAGATACAGGTACCATGAAAAAGAAACTGTAAGATACAGAATGCTACAAATCACAAAAATTAAAGTCTGCAGGTCATTAAGAAAGGCAGTGCTAATTTGTGTATTTCTGTATATATTCCTGGAACAGACAAGAAACTCATTTTCCTAAATATCTGATGATCACTGCCAGACAAATATAGCAAGTTGGCACCTGTAGTTTAATTAAGATTTCTTTAAAAATACCAAAGAAAATCCTAACTCTACAGAAATTAACAACATTTTTTGGTGCCAATTACAGCATTTTCCTGAGATTAGAAAGTTCATTTAGTTATGCTCTGGGTAAGCTTATTTGTATAGTAGTTCATGTTCTCTACAACTGTGTTATGTTATATACTGCTAAATATACGTAGCTAGAACAAGAAGCTGTGTTGCGACACTCAAGCAGCTTTGTCTTGGCACTACAATAATGGGCTGAAAAGCCAATTACATCTAACAGTCTCTCTAAGCAGTAACCTTTGAAACTGTAACAGAGGCTTCCATTTTGCAAGTTAGTATTGGATTTGAAC